GAAGAGAGAGAGAGAGAGAGAGAGAGAGAGAGAGAGAGAGAGAGGGGCTACAGACAACCAGGTGCCACAGGTTGGATTCCTTACTGAAAGTTGGAAGTAGTATAATTTGGCTTATTTACGTGTCTGAGGTTAATGGGACAGGGCATGTTTGCCATCGATTTTGATGAGTTAGTTCCAAATGCTCATCCCTTTGATGCAGAGAGGACCACAGGATATGCGTCAACATTTTATGTTGTGTACAATGGATGGCTAAGGGTTTCCACCTGCAACTATGCACCTTTAAAATGCCATGCGTACATATCGGTATCTCTTCCAGAATCCGGACTCTTCTGAAACTGTTTTACTCTATAGACCTCGGAGTGGTGGAAAACATTTAGTCTGTAAAAAAGCTTAAGTGTTCAGAGGGCAGTTGTGCTTCTGTACCATGCATAGGCACCTACTCCTTTCCTCTGACTTCCAGGCCATTTCCACACAGTTTATTTGTCCTGGATTCAATGTTATTGGGAAGCAGGGGTTTTTTTTTAACTGCTTCCCACAGCACTGCGGTCCATTCATGAACCTCCTGGGGTTTCCATGGCTTTTCTTCAAACTTTCTTAAACCTGCTTTGCTCCAAGGTTTCCAGAAAGACTGCAGTAAAGCAATCTGGATGGCTGCTGTGTGGGTGGGAAAAGCCGGATTTTCTACCCACACACCAGGCATTTTCTCTGGGTGGGAAAAGCTGGATTTTCTACCCACATATCAGCCATTTCCTCTCCCCAGCACCGGGGCAACTGAATACCGTTATACTGATCTAACATTATAACAATATGTATAACAGGTTCTCTGGATTCCCAGATTCCCTTAAAAAAACAGTAAGTCTATTGAGCAAATTTACATTGGGGTTTTTTTCATGCAACGTTTTATATTCAGCCAGAACCCTACGTCATATGCAGGACGTGATGTGCTGTGTGTACCGTGCTTCCCTGCACTGACCTGGATAGCCCAGACTAGGCCGATCTTATCAGATCTCAGAAGCTAAGCAGGGTCAGCCCTGGCCAGTATTTAGATGGGAGACCTCCAAATACTACCAGGATCATGATGTGGAAGAAGAAGAAGAAGGCCCTGAGACGGTCTTGGCTGGGAGGGTGGGGTAGAAATTTGATGAATAAGTAAATAATAATAAAGACGATGAAGAGATTTGGATTTATACCCTGCCCTTCATTACCCAAAGGAGTCTCAGAGTGGCTTACAATCTCCTTCCCCTTCCCCGCCCCACAACAGATACCCTGTGAAGTAGGTGGGGCTGAGAGAGCTCTCCCGAGAATTGCCCTTGAGAGAACAGCTCCGAAAGAACTTATGACTGATCCAAGGTCACACCAGAAGCTGCATGTGAAGGAGTGGGGAATCAAACCCAGTGCTCCCAGATCAGAGTCTGCGCTCTTAAGCACTACACCAAACTGGCTCTCTGTGGAGGCAGGCAGTGGGAAACTACCTTGGAAGGTCTCTCACCTCGAAAACCCCCAGGGGGTCACCATCAGTCAGCTGTGACTTGACGGCACTTTCCACCACCACGCTTCCCAGCTTCCATATTCTTCAACAAGAAAACACAAAACAACTACTGCAAATTACACCCACTGCAATATGGTCGGCTTTGCTTAACATGGATCGTTTCAGAGGGAACACAACACAAGCACCAAAGGGAAAGAAGAGATGTGTTCTAGCTGCATAGCATATTTGAAGTCATGAAGATAGGCAAAGTGATTTTTGGGATTCAGGACCCTACATTTGATTATAAGCCCTGCTCATGAGCAGGGTTCCCTCTAAGCTGAGTTAGTGTGAGCTAGCTCACAGTTTTTTAGCCTCCGGCTCAGACATTTTTGTCTTTGCTCAGGAAGGAGGGCTCCAGAGCAAACTAATTTATGTAGCAGCCAAATCACTCGCTCACAACTTTAATGCCAGTAGCTCACACAGTAGAATTTTTGCTCACAAGACTCCTCAGCTTAGAGGGAACATTGCTCATGAGCTACAAGGAATGCACGTTTTTCTCTTTATGTGTGTGTTGAATAATGTTCGCGTTACTGTCAATGCATGTACACTGGAATGTGTGATTGAAACCACAGCTTTCTCTGGGTACTGGTGCCGACTTTCAGTTGTGGAAGGATAGTTAGATTCGACTCCAGCAGCACCTTAGAGGCCAACAAAAGTTTCAGGGCACAAACTTTCAAGAGTCAAAGATCTCTTCATTGGACACCATGTGAACACACACTGGCTTTTCCTTACAAACAGATGTCTGTGTGTCCACTGCAATGCGTGAACAGGGTTTAAATGGTGTTCCAGTGGGCTGTTCTGGTTTCTAAAATCATCAGGAACTACCTTCCTTCCCTAGAACAGATCAAAATGAAAATGTTGGGAGGAAGCAGAAAAAGAGTTGGGTTTATACCCCACCCTTCACTCGGAGTCTCAGAGTGGCTTACAGTCTCCTTCCCTTCCTCTCCCCACAACAGACACCCTGTGAGGTGGGTGGGGATGAGAGAGCTCTGAGAGAACTGCTCTTGAAATAACAGCTCTGAGAGAACTGTGATTGGCCCAAGGTCACCCAGCTGGCTGCATGTGGAGGAGTGGGGAATCAAACCTATTCTCCAGATTAGAGTCCGCCGTTCTTAACCACTACACCAAACTGGCCCAGTATATAATTCGTTTACACAGCAGGGTGCATACACACCATTCACATACAGAGCCAGTGTGAAATAAGAGGGCCATACTAGGATGTAAGAGAACAAAGTTCAAATCCTCCCTCCATCACAAAGTTTGGTTGGGCCAGTCTTTCCCTCTCTTGGGAGGGATATCAGACGGTTGGGCTGATGCAGCCTTGCATGTGCATGCTTTGCCCATGCAGTCCACCTGCCACAATAAAAAGAAAGGGGGTGGATGAACAGATCACATGGGCGAGACATGGGCACACATGTGTGCAAATGCACCTACACGCGCAACACGTTCCACATGCATGGGTTAGGAAACTTGAGTGCAATCAACAAATCAAGCTGGAATATGAACTGGCCCCAAGATTCTGAGGTGGTCGAATTCCATGTTCCAGAGGCGTCACCATGTGCCACAATACTCAACGGTATTCAAATTACATGGTATTTTCCAGACGATGGTTGCACACAGCCACATTTAATATGACAAACCTTAGAGCCAGTGAGGCTGCAAAGCCCCTGTCTGTGTAATGTGGCTTCCTCCCTTCTCACAAGTATGCTTTTTTTTTTTTTGTATTGTTTTTCCTTGAACATTCATGCACATGCATGGGTTAGGAAACTTGAGTGCAATCAACAAATCAAGCTGGAATATGAACTGGCCCCAAGATTCTGAGGTGGTCGAATTCCATGTTCCAGAGGCGCCGCATCACCATGTGCCACAATACTCAACGGTATACAAATTACATGGTATTTTCCAGACGATGGTTGCACACAGCCACATTTAATATGACAAACCTTAGAGCCAGTGAGGCTGCAAAGCCCCTGTCTGTGTAATGTGGCTTCCTCCCTTCTCACAAGTATGCTTTTTTTGGGGGGGGCTATGCTCTTCCATGAGACGTTCAGCCGCTTTTTGCCCTGCCCCATCCAGTCCCAGTCCTTCTGTGTTCCTCACTGTTCATGAGATGGAACCCTTTTCCTCATACAGGGTCTGAGGAAGTCCTCAGTGGTTTTTAAAGACAAGGTCTAAAAATTAAAAAAAAACCAAAAACACATCCCATTCTCAAAGGCAGGGGGGAAAGGAGGAATGACCCAAGCAGAAACAGTGGTGTAGTGATTAGAGTGTCAGGCTAAAATCTGGGAGACCCAGCCTGGATTCCCCACTTGGCCAAGGAAGCTTACTGGGTAACTTTGGGCCAGTCACATACTCTCACCCTAGCCTACCTCGCAGGGTTGTTGTTGAGAAGATCAAACGGAGGGAAGGAAAACAATGTAAAGCCATTTTGGTCCCCATGGGGAAGAAAGGGGAGTATAAATAAAACAAATATTCTCCTCACAAAGCAATGTGAAGGAGAACAGTTGCAATATATATTATAAAATTTAAACAACTTAACATGAATTCTCTTTTGCAGACATTTCATCTCACAGTGCATCGCGTGCTTCTAAGTCTGTTGGCTTCAATGGAGTCAGAAGGGCTTAACTCTGTTTAACGCTGCACTGTCAATGGGCAAGTATAATATAACTGCATGAACCGGTACTGATCAAGGCATATGCAAAGGTTTTTCCCCACCCCCTGCTGTTTGATTTGGGTCCCAATATTAATCTATGCCTACAAGTCCTATTGAGAAAGAGCACAGCACAGGATTTTCCTAAAAATATATTTTCCACGTTTCTTCTTGCTTGCACCTGGGGAGCGGTGCTCCTCTCAATTCTGAGCCTTCGAGATACACACACCCATCTCCGGGTTGCAGCGCCATATCCTGAAGGCCAAACCACATCTTTCGTGCAAACGCGCGCAACCAGCCACCCGATTCGGGACGGCGAGTGGGGCTGAGAAGGAAGGCGGCGCTCAACCCTTTTCTCGCGCCAAAAGTCTTCTGCGGAGTTTTAAATGCGAGTTTGTACAGCGTTCCGTGCGCCTTGGTGTTTAGTCATGCCGGCCACATGACCACGGTCTTCGGACAGCGCTGGCTCTTCGTCTTTGAAACGGAGATGAGCACCGCAACCCTAGAGTCGGACTCGACTGGCTTTCGAGCAAGGGAACCTTTACCTTTTACCGTGCCTTGAAAGGCTGGTTCCTCAGCGCCTAGCTAAGGCGCGCCTCGAAGTGCTGGGGATCGACGAGGCGCGGCAGGATAGACCGCAAATGCTCCCCCCGCCCGCCGACAGCCCAGACCTGAGGGAAGGACTCACCCGCCTGTCTCGGCCCCCGAGTCCGCGCCGTCGTCTTGACCACGCCGGCCGCCGCTGCTGCTCCCCTTCCGGTGCATGGCTCGGCTGCTCCCGGGTCTCAAGCGGAGGATGCAGGCCAGCGACGGCTGGGCGGTCCCTCCTCTGCGCGGGAGGTCCCTCAGTCCATCTGCCGCCTGCAACCGGAGATCTGCCTCTCCAGCCACCCTTTAAGCCCTTCGCTTGGTCTTTTCCAGATCAGGCGTCCTCCACGCGGTCTCTCGGGGGTGGCGAGAGGGGCTCGCTTCAGAGGTTGCGTTTCTCTTGCTGCCTTTCCCCGGCAAACTGTAGCAATAAAAATTTTAAAATGCACCCGTGAGGCTCCCGGGATGAAATCTGCATGACACTTACTCTAAAGTAGTCTCGTGGTTGTTGTGGAACACTTTGGGATGGTGGTTTAAGTATGAATGCACAAGCTGATCTGATTTGTGGGTTGCCTTTATCCAGTTTGCAAGCTTTCCAGCTGCATTGATGGGTATGAAATGGGTATAGACAAATATACTGGGTTGGATCCAGCCAGCATTTTCATTCCGTCTGGCTCAATCACCCTCTGTATTGCAGTCCTCCTCCCACATGGCATTTGTCCACGCAGATCCCATAAGCCTCAGCAAAGCCTTTTCCTAGATTCTCAACTCCATAGAACAAAGGCCTAGTTACAAAAACTGTATATGAAAAAAATGTTTGTGTTGTCATTAAACCCAGCACTTGTGGTAGCTGTCTTTCGGATCCTCCCCAAACTCCCCAAATGATGGCCCGCTTCTTATGTTACGCCAGTGGCATGGAAACCCTAATAGCTCTGTTTCTTTCCATGCTGTTGAGATTCGGGTTATACCCATGGCCTGGAAAAGTGTGGCCTGGCAGCCATTCCTACACCAATATAAGAAGGAACCATAGATACATAAAGGGCATGGGGGTCTCCCAACGAAGGTTCGTGTCTTTGGAGTACAATGCATGCTTTGCATACAGAAGATCCTTGTGGTTCAAAGTTCAGTCCCTCTTTCTTGGACAGGATAAACTAGGTGAGTGGTTCCCAACCTCTTCTAGTATGAGGTCCCCTCTTTAACCAAGAGAGCCAGTTTGGTGTAGTGGTTAAGTGTGTGGACTCTAATCTGGGAGAACCAGGTTTGATTCCCCACTCCTCCACTTGCACCTGCTGATGTGACCTTGGGTCAGTCACATGCTCTGGCACAGCTGTCCTTGAAAAAGAGCAGTTTGTGTCAGAGTTCGCTCAGCCCCACCTACCTCACAGGGTGTCTGTTGTGGGGAGGGGAAGGGAGAGGAGTTTGTAAGCCGCTCTGAGACTCCAAGTGAAGGGCGGGGTGTAAATCCAGTCTCCTCTTCTTCTTCTTAACATGAAAACAAAAAATGGACCCCTCCCACATGATAATAGTTGTACTGTTAGTATCCATTGATTGAGAAAATACATAATGACAAAAAGGTCAAATTGCACATATGGATTTGTAGACCCCTTAACTTCATACCCCCCCCCCAGGGACCCAGAACTCCAGGGTGGGAACCAGTGAACTAGACTAAATTAGATGGACCAGTGATCTGTGTCAGAGAGTGCCATGTGTTCACAATGCATACATTATGCGTACAGATTGTTTCTGAAGGGCACTGTCTTCCCTCTTACTGTCCCTTTACACTAGTGCTGATTGTCTGTCAAGTTTGTCATTGTCAAGTTTATCATTCTGTTTATCATTCTCACAGAACCTCTGTTGGGTTCCCCCCGCAACTAGATTCCAACAGAAGGGAAAATCCTCTCCAGAATGAGCCCTAGTTGTGATGGTCAGCTGTAGTTCAAAGTGAGCATTGTGTCATTTCACTGTTACTCCAGATGTGTGGTTCTAAGCAGAAGTACACCCTTCTATGCCCACTGAAGTCAGTATACCTAGAAGGGTGAAAAGACTGCTGTTCAGTGACCTAGAGAGCAATCCCAGGCAGGTCTACTCAAAATCCTGCTTAGACTTATACAATGGGGCTTACTCCCAAGAAAGTTCAAGATGGGTAGCCGTGTTAGTCTGTCTGTAGCAGGAGAAAACAGTAAGAGTCCAGTAGCACCTTAAAGACTAACAAAATTTGTGGCAGGGTATGAGCTTTTGTGAGTCACTGCTCACTTCTTCAGGTAAAAAGGTAAAGGTAAAGGTTCCCTTGCTCGAAAGCCAGTCGAATCCGACTCTAGGGTTGCGATGCTCATCTCCGTTTCAAAGCCGAAGAGCCAGCGCTGTCTGAAGACGTTTCCGTGGTCATGTGGCCGGCATGACTAAACACCAAGGCGCACGGAACGCTGTTACCTTCCCACCGAAGTGGTACCTATTAATCTACTTGCAATTTCTTGCTTTTGAACTGCTAGGTTGGCAGGAGCTGGAACTAGAGACAGGAGCTCACTCCGTCATGCGGCACACTCGGGTCTCAAACTGCTGAACTACCGACCTTCCACAGCCAGCAGTTCAGCGTCTTAACCACTTGAGCCACCGCAGCTTCTTCAGGTACTCTACCACAAATTTTGTTAGTTTTTAAGGTGCTACTGGACTCTTACTCTTTTTTACTCCCAAGAAAGTATTCTTTGTTGTTGTTGTTCAGTCGCACAGTCGAGTCCGACTCTTTGTGACCCCATGGACCACAGCACGCCTGGCCCTCCTGTCTTCTGCCGTCCTCCAGAGTTTGTTCACTGCATTGATAACAACTGTCTAACCATCTCATCCTTT